ATGGTTTCGAATTTTGTTCTTGTTAAAACCTAGCAACAGTCTTTCAGCTCGCCCGTACCAAGCAAATCAATCACATTTCTCAAGCGTGAACATGTTTGCCTGTTAAGACATGAAAATTCAGATACATCCAGCGCGCACCGGTAGAGTTGTGGTAACACGTTCACCCCGCATGTCAGTCACTCGGAGTTCGCCGCGGACAAGGATGCGCACTGGGGGAAAGTCGAGCGCAGTACTCCCCATTCGATGTGTACTCACCAGAACAATTGGGCCAGGACAGTAGGAAGGCTTTTCAAATGCGAAGGATGTGAATGTGGATTTTACAAATCCCGTAACTATCCACTGGAGTTCTTTGTGTAGTTATGGCGCGCTTTGTGCAAAACAGGCAGTGCTAGATGAGAAGATAATGAATGAGGGCGCTGAAGGGTTCACGCTTTCTAACAGTACTTACCATGCATCATATGAGGAGGCTTGGAATGTCCTTACCCAAGACCTCGTGGTCGAAATATTACCGTATTCACTTGTTCGACCTGAATTGAATGGAAGAGGTTCACGGAGAATCGCGGCATTATGGTGGGTGGTTTTACTTACTCCACGAAGTCAGGGAAACGGTGACGAGAACTGCATAGTAAAGCCAACAACAAACCTGATGAAATTTCTTCAAAACGCTCAGTGAGTAATATTGAAGGAGATGCACGTAACTTGTTACTGTCGCTACCCGCGAGGAAGTTGAGAAAGTTCATTTATGCCATATCGTTTGCAAATCCCATGTAGGATGAAACCACTGGTAAGCGAAAATGCCGAATGGACGAAATAGCATTGCCTGCGCTATAAACCGTAGTAGCCATATCAAACTCTCACAGACGGTGGACACCTATCAATGTCACTGCTGGAATCACCAGCGCTGACAACAGAGTATTTCCACAGGCCGCACTACGCCATAATACACAGTAACACTGTTTTGATGTGAAAATCGTTCTCGGCTCCAAAAGTTGCTGAACATCTACCCTAGTGCTTCATGATCTGGATGTAGATGAAGCCAATCACATTCCGTACTGGCAGATCACGTGGCTATCGATGCAGATCACATGGCCTATTGGCTGGAAGTTTCTGGGTCTCCTCGAATGGTGACGAAACGTTTGCAAATCAATTGCCAAGCTCGGCGAACAGATCAACAGCCACCTGATCAATTACCAACCAATATACCCGAGCTACCAATATTCCAAAACATTACCAAACTGAACAATGGTTCGCTACACCAGCAAGTGACCTGGACTGTTGACGATAAGTCTGTACCCAAGTCGTTCGGCTCAACGAACAATCATGATCAGCAAAGTCCTTGACTTAAAAATTAATGAGTTCCTACTTCACTCGAAGTGACAATGGGTTCCAAGACGCATTCATTCGAATATTTTGGAATACGACTTTCTCGTCCCCTACATTTGTCCCACATGGAATTTTTGCAGACACAAACCAAGAGATGAATCAGAAATGGAAATTTATTGAAGCACTCGAAAAGTCTTTGTTTGTTAGTCCTATTTCCTAAACAGGTCAGATGAGATTGTGTCTCGATTGGGGAAGCAAAAAGTGTCATTTTGTGTGGGAAATCTCCCCATGAATTGGATTATTTTTAAAGAAATCTACTCACACACAAACTTTTGCGTTCTGTAATTAGTCTTGTTTCTTTGGTACCACACACACACACACAGCTCGCGGATGGCTGAGTGACTCTGTTGGTGACCGAAAATCAGCATCGACAGACACGGGACCTTGTGAATTGGCGAATGTTTTTTTTTTCATTGCTTCTCCTCCGTCCATCCTTTTCAAGCATTTACGCATGCTTTTAGCCCTACTCAAGCATTGGGACGCATCGATTTCCAATATTTCAGTCTGATGAACAGCTATCAGTACAAGTTGTCGTTTGCCTGGAGAGATGACAAGCAAGGGAAAGTTGTAAATAGCCCATAGCGTGAAAGCGCAAGCCAACTTTTAACACTGGCTGTGGTTCTCAGAAATGGTTTTAACGTACTGGTCTAGACTTTCGAGCCAGGTTGAAAACCCCGACGGAACTACATTGTACCTTCATTATAATGCCATGATCCTTTTTGTAAAGGTGCCAGGTCTATCTTGTAACGAATTCAGGCGTTGAAAAGTCCTCAGATTTCTATGAAAATATGAAATTCAAAACTGTGTACGTGTGATACTGCGCACCATCCTGGAGAGACTTTTCAGCGAGATCGGAGCACTTTGTAGCCGGTAGATTGTAGATCTGAAGAGGGCTTTTTTGCCGGAATAAATAATAGTCTATCTAACGATGCCATGAAAATGTGTCTTCCCAAATGCGGTCGGTTTTCCGCGAAAGTTTAACGAGGTGATAGGTCAGGACAGAATTACTCTGCCGCCTACATCACACACGGTTTCTCTAACATGAAAAAATTATGTCGTTTTAGTCAGTAAGTAATTTATTATACACCCGCAAAAGTATTCGTGATGCAGATCTCGTGCCTGAGCGGTCGGCTTGTCAGCCCAGCGATCAGCTTGTGGCAGACCAATACTGTCTTTTCTTGCTATATTCCCAAGGTTGGTAGGAATAACTCGTCGTGTTCTCCTCTTTTGATCGATCCCTTGGTTCAGTTTTTTTTCTGAACAGAGACTGAATAGTTTCGGCCAACATACCAGGTGACAACCGAATTAAGTAACCTCCTGCCTTTTGACGCACACGCTACTAATTACGGGTGAGGAGAAAACTATGCACTAAAGTCATCACTTTTACAGTTGATGTGTTAATTACTCTGAATACACCAACATTTATGACTA